GCAAACACAGAGGCAGGGGACATCAGGATTTGGCTCCTGTGTGAGCCACTCTAGGCAGAGGGTGTCCTGGCCCAGGCTGGCTCCAGGTCACATCTGCCCCCCACTGTGCACCCCAAGGCCGTCCCTGCCTTCTGGGCCATGGGCCCGGTCTTCCTCAGGCGTCTAGAAGCTTCTCCGGTGGCCGGCGCTGGGGCTCTGGGTAGCTGTGCACAAGCCTGTTCTGACACCCCAGGTGCTCGCCCTTCTCCAGCAGCACTGGGACCAGGTGGGGGATGGAGGAAATGAACACAGATAAACCTGTCAGTCCTCAAGTGCAGCCTGGGGCGGGGCGGGGTGGGTGGCAATTTGGAGAGCAAACTCTGGGCTGTTTACCTGCAGGAGCTGCTCCGGGTGGTTATTTACTTTTCTGTGATTCTGGGAGGGGGAAAATGAGACCGAGGGCCTCAGGGGGCCTTGGCAAACAGAGGAGGCGCCCGGGTGTTAACTGATTCTGTCAGCCGCTCAGCCTGCCTTGCCTCCCAGAGGCCATTGGCATGCGTGGCCAGTCTGGGGGAGCCCAGCCCTGGAGCCGGAGGGAGCTGTGGAGGTCAGAGAAGCTGCGCCACCACCCACCGCTCTGCTTTCCGAATGAGATGGCCCAGAAAGGGGAGAGAAGATCCCCAGAACGGGATGTGTTCACAGGGCCCAGGCCGGAGCACATGGGGGGAGCATTCTGGATAGGGAGGTGGCTGGTGTCCCCAGCCCCTGGAAACTCCCAGTCAGGCTGGGTCCTGCTGCTGGGAGCACCGGGGTCCTTCTCCAGCTGATGGACAGCCCTGGGCTCCAGTGCCAGGCAGGCTCTTGACTGGCAGGGTCTCTGTTTCTCTGACCACAGGGCAGGGATGGGGACATCTGATGGCTGTGTCATGTGTACTGACCGACTGGCTTTGTGACTTGGAAGGACTGACTAGAACGGTGGGTGCAACCTTTTCCCCACCTCGTGCCTGGAAGTGGGCTCGATTCTCTAAGAGCCAGGGGTAGCAGAGCGAGGTACCCCTGTCCCCTCACGTGTGAAATGGGTACGACAACTAAAGCACCTGCCACAGGCGTCCTCGGGAGGGCAAATGAAATTCCCAGGCGGCGCTCGGCAGGGCCGAGTGATTTTCTACAGGTTCTTGGGCACCACTGTCATCCCCAGCACAGTGGTGGCCCAGCAGGCCGGAGGCGGTGGCCCCACACTGTGCCAGCAGCCCTGGCCTACGTCTCCGTCTCCACCACACACTTGCAAGAAAGAAAGAAGAAAAGAAGCCAATTCCCCTAAGGCTGTCCTTGCTAAGCCAGTCCCAGGGATGGACTATTGAATACCCCTCCTGGAGCACCCGTCTTCTTAGTATTCTGGAAAGGGGGGGAAGGGGAGGCACAGAGCAAGCAATTTCTGGAGAGGAACAGCCATGAGCTGACATTGCTACTTTCTTTCCCACAAAACATGGTTTTATTAGAGGAAAAACCACAGCAGAAGACCTGCGGCTCCCCAGTCTTGGGTATCTGGTGGACATTTCTAGAAAAAGAATGAAATGAGGGAAACCACCGACAGGATTAGTTGTCAATGATGCGATTTGAGCTCGCAGGCCATCATGGGAAGTTTGGAAAACGTCTCTCTGTTACTACCGGACAGCAGCTCCATTCCTGAAAAACTTTGATTTCCAAAGGGCCAAGGTGCGAATGGTTCCAAAGGTGAAGGGTCAGAGTGTCAGGTGGTCGGGGATTTTAATATAGTACAATAGGAAAAGTTTGTTAAGTTTTCAGATTCCAGGAAGCAAACAAGCCTCAAGAAGCTGCCATTTGCTGAGGCCCTGTGTGGGATCACAGAAGAGTGCCCCTGGTAACGGCCAAGGCTGGCATGATCCCTTTACCCGCTCCAGATGTGGGAGGGGCCAGATGTCCTTAATCCACTTCAACCAAAACAACATATTGCCGGGGACGTTAGTGGAGAAGCAGATAAGAGAGTCCAGCTGTCTTCTATTAAGTCAGACACTTGAGAGATTGACAAAACTGAAAAGCAATACAGCTCTTCTCTCATTTTCAAAACATCTTTTACAAAAGTATACTTCTTGCTTGAACATGAACTGAGATAATTGTTTTTATATTATATGAGTTCATAAATGAACATTCAGAAAAAATTCTGTTTTAATAGCTAATGTGGCATTTATCTATTTATTTGTTTCGGTATTGGGGATTGAACACAGGGGTACTTACCACTGGGTGATATCCCAGCCCTTTTTTTTGTTTAGAGATAGGGTCTCGCTAAGATGCTTAGGGCCTGGCTAAGTCATTGAGGCTGGCCTCGAACTTGCAATCCTCCTGCCTCAGCCTCCTGTGTCACTGGGATGACAGGTATGCAACACTGCATTGGGCCTAGTATGACAAATATTTATAAATCAACAATCTGGGAGTCCTCAGTAGGAATGAAAAGGGGTCCTGGTACCAGATGTCTGAGAACTAGTGATCTGTGTATGTGGGGTACGAACAAGCACATAGCTGTTTGCAGCTGGTCAAGGGCTGATGTTTGTGCCCTGGGTGGAAGAGGAGGCACTGCTGTGAAGTGGAAGGGTGAGCTGGGGGCTCCAGGAGGAGGCATCCTCATAACACGGACAAGTGGTGACAAGAGGTTTCCAGGTTACTGGAACTGAGAGGCTGGCATGAGCCTCCCTCCCTATGGCAGGAGGTCGCAGAAACCCAGGGAGAGGACGAGACCACACTGATCCCAACAATGGATTGTGCCTGTTTCCCCAGACCAGGGCTGTACCTCCTCCCCGCTCCTCAACTCCAGGGGCCCACGTCACCTGTCCTCAGCGTGGTCAGATCCAGACACCACAGACCGGCTCCTTCTCACTGGTCTCTACCTGCGAGGCCTGTGGGACACCCTGGCCAGAATCAGGGACGGGGCTAGTCACCAAGATTAGGCCCGCCCTGCCCCACCACTACCACCCTGGCCCCAGGCCCCCATGCCCGGATCAGCACAAGGGCTGCCCTCCTCTCCAGGGCCCCTTGCCCTGAGTCGTGGCTAGGTTCTGGTTTGTGGCAGCCTGGGCCCCGGTGGACGGGCAGGGGCAGTGCAGGAGCAGCAGGTCTGGGCCCCAGGAGAGGAGCCAGGCCTTCTCAGTTGAAGTCATCTGGGCTTCCATCTTCAACTGGGGCCCGAGGTGGGCAGGAGCTGGGATCACACCACCTTGACACAGTTCAGGCTCCTTGCTGCTCCCAGAGGGGGTGGCCTTTACCAACAGGTCAAGAGGGAAGCAGCAAAGGGGAGGCTTTCTGTGAAAGCCTGTCCCCTCTCGGGCCTCCCTCTGCCCTCCCCTCGTCTCCGCACCTCCTCTGCTGCTGCCTCCAGCCCCCACCGCTCACCAAAGCAGTTTGAAGTGTCAGGTCATGTGGACACAGGGCAACCTGCCTCTGCGGCGTTCAGCTCTGCCGTGGGCTGGGCCACTCACCTGCCCCATCTCCTGTGCTTTTGCTAGTGCCCCGCCCTCTCGCTAACGTCCCCAGTCTGCCTTTGACCCCAGTCCACCAGGAGTTCAGGTGAGGAGACCTTGCCTGACAGCCTCTGTCTCTTACATAGCAGGAAGTTAGGAGGTGACAGTCCTGGGCTGGTCCTGTCTCCCCAGGATGTCACATGGCTGGCCAGCCTGGCTGACCCGGAGGCCCAGAGGGAGAGTTTTTTGTGTTTTTTTTTGAGGAGGGGGCTTGTGGAGTGGATGGTGGGTGGGCCACCAGCCCTGCGGTTCTCTTGGTTGGCCGAGGTGTAAGCAGAGCCTCCTTTCTCTCTGACCCATGTCCATGTTGGGCTTCTGCTCAGGCAGCGTCACCCAGAGCATCTCGCTCTGGTCCCGCCTCTCCCAGTCCCCTGTCTTGACACAGGTGTGTGACATCTCTCTGCCTGTGGTCTGCTTCCCCACACGGGGCCCGACCTGTGTGAGCCACACGTCTCTCTGCTCAGGGTGCCACCTGATCTCTGGACCCCACCACCTGCTCCCCCACCCAGCCTTTCTGGCCCCTTACTAGATTCTGTGTGCTGATCTTGTGTCTCTGAACCTCCTAGGGACACAGGTGCGCAGCCACCCACCACACCCCTGCTCTAGCCGAGATGGACCACCCCATCCTGGCTCCTTGCCTTCCGGTCATTGTGCTGCCTGTTGTGGGAAAAGGCCCCTCCTGCTCAACTCCTGGTTCACGATTTTGGTTCTGAAGAACAGGGACCTTCTCAATTTCCCTAATTCAAGGATATCTATTGGCTGGGGCTGGGGGTCGGGGGCTGGCTTTGCTGGGTGTCTCTCGTCCTGGGTGGATGTCCCCCCCCACTAGGTAGCTCCGGTCTCCTTGAGGCACCAGTCTGCTTCCGGCTCACTCCTGACGTAGAACGTGCTGTCTTGTGGCTTTAATCTCAGCAACCCATCGTGGCCCTGACCCACCATGGCCTCTACCACTCCTCTGCCTCACTCCTGTGTCTGCTGAGGACTGCTGTCCACAGCCTTCGGCCAGGTCAACTCCTGAGAAGATTCCAGATCACAGCTCAGGTCAAGGCAGCCCCTGTCGTGAGTGGTTAGCTGCCCTCACTAAGGTGCCTGCCTGCCGGATACCACCGGCAGGGGCCTTGGGGATCATAGGGTCCTCACCAGAGTGACCTTCCGAAGGGGACAAGGCAGTGCTGTGGGGGGCAGGGCACTGGTGATCTCAGCAATTGGCACCCAAGTCCAATCTCTCTAAGACCTCTTCTTCTGCCGAGACTCATCTCAAATATGACCTCTTCCAAGAAGCCTCTTTGGACCACCTCCGGCCACCACAGAGGTCAGGAGACCACAGCAGTGGGGTCCTCTCCCAGTTGTTTACCTTCCTGGCTGTTCTCTGGGCTTCCTCAGAGCCCCTTACAGCTGACATGAGCTCATGAAATGTTCAATAAATGTTGAAGGTGTGACGTGAACAGAATGCCTGACCTGACGGGGACATCATCTACTTGCAGACCCCGGGTGTGTGTCAAAGCCAGGTTCAGATGGATGGATTTCCAGAAGAATCTAAATTTGCAGCTTCTCACGCACCAGCTGGCTTGGGGTCCTGCACAGCAGAGCCTGAGTTGAGGAGGGACTTGTCTAGTTGGATGGTGAGTGAGCCCCAGAAGCAGGAGGAGGGAGTTGGAGGCTGATCCAGAAGGAGGAAGAGCCATGACCATGCAGCTATGGGCACAGGGCTCCAGCTACTGGGGCACCAGGAGGACCAGGGCTTGGAAATGTCTGAGGGAAGAAGGGTGGGGCCTTTGTTCTCCAACTCTGTTCCCCGTTGAGGACATGATCTTCCTCACACTTCCCAGCCAGCTGTCTGTCCCCAGGGCTGGAAGGAAGTCTTGAACCAGGAAGTGGAGAGCAGAGGGGGTGCTTGCCTGCGGGGCATGGTAACCTCCCCAGCTTTGGCCTTCAGAGCGGCCAGGGTGCAGAGCCGCTGCACTACCTGGCCCTACTGGGCTGTCCCATGACTCAAGGGAGAAACTCAGGGTGGAGGTTCACCTCCCTGGGGACAGGGCCCAGCCCCTGCCCCCTGGCTCATCTGCATGCCCCGCACCCCTGCAGGCTACCAGGGTGCAAATCCTGTTGGCCCCCCCAACCCTGCCACAGAGGAGACTGAGGCTCATAAACGGGAAGGGCCTGACTCACAGAGCGCCTCCTGCCACCCAATCTTCCCCTTGCTTACCCCAGGGTTTGCTGATGGCTTGTCCCCTCTGCCTCAGAGGACAAGGCCTCAGAGAGGGCTCTGGGCTGCAGATCCTCCATCTAGGCCCCTTCCCCTCTTCCCCGCCGGCTCAGGACACAATCCAGTAAATAACACGCTGCCCATCGATCTGAGGTCACTGGGGCCAGGGCCGATCGATGGCCGCAGACAGCTGGGCAGGCGGGTAATGAAGTGCCAGCTCCTTGGCGGGGGCGCGGCCAGCCCTGAGATTTAATCCCCTCACCTCCTCTGCAAGGTTCCAGCTCCGTGACAGGAGGGAAGACAGATGAGGCTCTGAGGCCAGTGGGGGTGGGGTGGGTGCGGGGATGAGGGCAGGGGTGGGTGCAGTTGTCAAAGCTCACCGGAGCCCCCAGCCCTCCAGAGTTCCCCGCCCTCCAGCTCCTTTGTCTGGGACTGGAGAGGAGGCAGGTGTCCCTTTGGAACCTCCCAAAGAACATGCACTGCCCCCTCCGCTCCACAGAGCCCATTCCACTCCACATACTTGTCCCTGTGAACATCAAGCTGTCTACCTCTCTAAAATCAGGGTCCTGGAGGGCAAGGAGACTAAACACTGTTGAACAAGTAGGATGTCCTTTGCACATGACATCTTATTCTATCTTCACAGCGTGGTTTGATAAACATTCTATGCCCACTCTAATTAAGGGAAGAGTTTCAGAGAGAAAGAGATGTTCAACAACTAGAGCTGCCCAATGATGGACCGGATCACATAAGGTGCTGAGATCCCCATCACCGTGGGTATTCAAGCCACTGTGGGTGTTCAACTATGGGCTGAGGTGCTGTCAAAAGGCTATGGAGAAGCTGAATGCAGTGGCACACACCTAGAATCCCAGCGGCTCAGGAGGCTGAGGCAGGAGGATCACAAGTTCAAAGCCAGCCTCAGTAACTTAGTGAGGCACTAAGCAACTCCGTGAGACCCTGCCTCTAAATAAAATACAGAAAGAGCTGTTGATGTGACTCAGTTGTTAAGCACCCCTGGGTTCAATCCCTGGCATCAAAAATAAATAAATAAATAAATACATACGTACACAGCCATGGGGTTCTTTCCCACTTTGAGCTCAAGTCTTTGGGAAAGAAAGAATAATCTGGGCTTTAGGGAAGGGCCCTGGCCCCAGGTAGAAAGATGACCAAATGAGATGTGGTCATTAAGCCAGTGGCTTCTAAACCCTGTCTGCAGACCCCTGGGGTACTCTGGAGGCATTCAGGATATCCACAAACGTTTGACTCAAGTTCATTTTCAATACCATTGTTTAATGCTAAAACTGTATTTAAAAATAGATGCAGGTTAAAGATTATGTTACACAATGTACAAGCTGTTTGAAATCACCAGAAGGGTTGCTCTGGGGAGATCTGGTACTAAAGATTTTCCTACATCTGTCTCTCTCTCTCTTTTTTTTTTTTTTTTGCAATGCTAGGGATTGAAACTGGGGCCTCATGCACGTCAGACCAGCACTCTACCACTGAGCTCCGCCCAGCCCTCTGTATCTGGAGTTAATTGAAAGGCATGGCAGGAAGGAATATTGGAAGATACACACAAAACCCTCCTTAACTCGCACTCACTCATCTGTATGAATAAGTAATAGCCTACAACACAAGCAGAAGCAGAAACAAGCTAGAGGCTGCGCCTGGTGCAGGATGCAGGATGGAAACTGTCACCCATAATCTCTTATTTCTGTTTTCTCCTCAACAAAACAGGCTTGTTGCCATCTTATCTAATATTATTTTAATTGTCCGCTCATTATAACAAGCACACCGCACACATGTGAACATAGCGAGTGCATCTGCGCTCACAGGATATGACTTTCATTTGTTTTACACACTGCGATTCTATTTGGATTTCCCTTGAGAAACAGCTCTGGTGTTGAAAATACTGAGGGGCTACCAGGTCACCTTCCTTGGCAGGGTGGCCAAGGCTGCCCCTACCCAGGTCTCTTCTGGGCTGGGCAGAGTAGGGGCTCTGTCTCTGCTTTTCCCTATACACAGGCCACAGCCTCTGTGAGCCTGGCCCTTGGCCCCCAGCCTGTGGCCAGTGGTGGGAGAGGAGCGCCAGGTGCTGCGGGGGGCAGGGCTGGATGGGAGGCACCTGGAGCATTCTGGCTGGTTCTTCCTAAGGCGGGAAGTCTGGGCAGGAGGCAGCGTGGTGATGGGGAAAGCTCTGGCCTACAGAGAAGGCCATAGAACACCTGCCCCAGGAGGCCACGCTGAAGCCACAGGTCCAAGAGGTGGGGCCAGTAGCAGGGATTGGAGGGCTGGGCACAGGAGCTGCTTTCCGTCCACCGGGCAGTGCATTCCATCCTGCTCTGCAGGACTGACTGACAGAGAGGCGCAGAGCTGAGGCTGCCCTGGCCCCTTTTCTAGAAATCCCTTCCGGGGCTGCCAGGCTCTGGGGTTGTTCCCAGGGCCACGGAGATGCCCACTGGCCTCATTTCTGTCACATGTGGCTGTTTAGGACTCTCTGGCCTCAGCACTGGCTGGCTGGAGCAGCACGACCCACAGACCCGCTCCAAACAAGCCTGGAGGGGGCCCTGACTGAGCCTGGGCTCGGGAGTCAGAGTGCCAGCCTTCTCCTGTGCCACCCACCCCATCCCTCACCATCCTTCTGCGGCCCTGGTCTTAGGTTCCCCTCTCCAACTAACCCCTGAGCATCTTGGTACTTTGTCGTCCATCTAGAAGTTCCTTCCTGTGAAACTTTGCTCAGTGGGCAGCTTCTTGGCCTCAGGTGCCTTCTCCCCAGACAGCCTCCCCTGGCCACGTCACCCCGTGCAGTCACCCCATCCTATCCCCACTCACCTGTCCTGACACTCGGGTTCTCTTCACAGCACTTCATGTTTTCTGAGAGAACCTTGTTTACCTCTTGCTTTCTTGAGCTTTTTGTCCCTCCACACCAGAATATCAGCTCTATAAGGACAGGGACCTTGTCTATCTTGTTCTTTGCTGTATCTTTAGCCTCATGCCCGGCACATAGTAGGTGCTCAACAAACACCTGTGGAATCAAGGAGCTCATTTGTCAGTAGTCACACATGCTTTTCAGGGAGGATTTCCTGAGAAGTGGGTGACTTTGATTTTAAGCCCAGCTGTGTGGAGCCTCCAATAGGAAAATGGAGAAAGGGGTTCTGGGAGGGAGGAAAGGGTGGTTGGTGGGCGATGAGGCTGTGTGTGTGGGAGGAGCCGCAGACCTGGGGTATATGAAGATTTAAAAGCTGTTTTGGGAAAAAGCCAGATGGAAGGTGGAAGTTTCCAGTCGTGTGACATGAAAGGACAAACCAGGGGGAGGGAAACGGGGAAGCTGAGAAGCCAGGCCCTGCCCTGGTGGCTGCGTGAGCAGGTGCTCCTCAGTCCCTCCCTGGGGCAGAGGCACCCAGAGCTGGCCACATACTTTTAGTTGAAAGAGAGGAGGAGAGGGAACGCAGGCGGGGAGGGAAATCGATAAGAGACCTTTTAAGATCTCAAAACATTATCTAGTCGCATTATCATCCAATTGGCTTCGCTGACATTGGGCCCTGCCTTTCTCAGAATCACAATGAGAACTTCGTCTCCCCTTATTGGGGCCCCCCTTGCCTGGGGAGGGTCCCTGGCACTGCCTGGGGGTCTAGAGACTGTGGCCCTTGCTCAGGAGGTAAGGGGGGATGGCACCCCAAACTGAGAGCCTGACAGCAAAGGCTGGGGGCAGGACCGCACAGCCACAGTGAGGAGCCACTGGTGTGGCTGGGGCTGGGGCAAGGGGGAGCACTGAGGCCACAGGACCCAGCCAGGTGCCCAGAGATGCGGAGGCCTCAGCGCTGGCGCCTCCCCAGGCAGCTAGGGGATGAGGTGTCAGAGCTGAGAGGGGCTGACAGAATTTGGTTCTCCGCCCCCTCAGCTCCTGCCCGCCTTCCCAGGGCTAATCTCGTTTAGCACGGCAATTAAATTTTAAAGGCCCATCAGCTCGGTCCCTTGCATGCCAGGTTCTTCCCAGATAGAATTATTTAATAGACTGGATGGCAACTCCGGGGCTCTGGCTGGGGCTGCAGACCCACTGAGGCAGAAAATTAATAAACACGGCAGCCGCTCCCGCCACCCCCCGCCTGTCTCCCCTCATTCTCTCCTGCCCACAGAGGGGCTGGCGGGGTGAGTGTCCTGGGTAGGGAATCAGGGATGGGGGAGGAGGGCCAGTAAAGCCTCAGGACCCCAGCAGATGGTCTTGGGGATTGGAGCCTGCCGGGGAGTCCCACTCTGCCAATTAGCTGAGCAGAGTGGCATACCTTACTTAACCCGTCTGGCCTCAGTCCATTCATCTGTGTAATGGGGTCGTGCAGAGGATCACAGAGGTGACGCATGTTAAGTGTTTGGCATGATAACCAGCCCACACGCAGCATGCTACTCCTTCCCTCTCCTTCCCAAATAATCACGGCTTGTATGCTTTTGCTGGGGCCACCAGGTTGGGGGCGCAGGGCGGAGGAAGGGAGGAGGGGGAACAACTGCAGTAGTAACCAGGCAGTTGCTGACTTACCAAGCCCAACAGACCGGGGGTCTTGGGGTTCACTAGGACTCAGGCATTAGGAAATGAGGTCCCCAGGGTCTGGCATCCTGGGTGAAAACTTGTCTCCCTGTGTGTTCCTGGACAAGCCTGGTTTCTCAGTCTCAGTTCCCCTACCTATAAAGTGGGGACAGGGAATCAACTTCATGGGATTACCTACAGCTGTAGGTACCTTGAGTGTTCTGAAGTTCTACCCACTGTGTGCCAGGTGGCCCCGGCATGGGGCCACCCAGGGGAGAGGAGCAACTTGGGAGAGCCACAGGGTGACCAGGAGAGGCTGGGGCTCATGTTGAAGAGATGAGTGGGACTCTGGGGCCAAGAGCTGGGCCTGGGTCCTGTGCTTGCCTTGTGGCCCCCTCTCTCCTGCCCTACTTCAGACTCTGTGCCTCTCCTTGGAGGGGCTGGGCGGGGAGGGGTGAGAGGGGCCATCTGTGGGAGGGGAGTCTGCGGTGGTCTCAGGTGGGCCTGCCAGGCTGCAGCAGCCCTCCTCTCACCTGGCACAGTCCCCTACGCTGGGGTCTTGGTTCTGTGGGATGAGCGGATCCTCATTCCCCTCCAGGACCTTCAGAGGCTCTGGAAACAGCCCTGTGGTCCCAGGAATCTCCACTGAGGACCCTCCTTCCTGTGTGTTACTCACCCCAGCAGCGTCTGCGTTTGGGGACTTCTGAACCCCGGTGCTGGGGGATGGATGGGGCAGGCAGAGGCGCTGTCCCCAGGGCTGGAGGAGGGGGACCTGGGTGCGGTGCGATTTCCCACAGGTTCGGGATCCTGCAGCGGGTGGTGAAGGGCCCTGAGGGTGAGCAGGGGTGGTGACAGTCACAATGAGGAAGCGCAGCCTGGGGTGGGTGAGCGGGGGACCTACAGCTGGCCCAGCCCTAACTCTGTGTCCCTCAGGGTCCCAACCGGAATGCCCCTAACCCCGTGGCCTACACGCAGAGACCCTCTCTGCCCGCCGTCAGCCGGAGCGGGTGCACCTTCTAGCTCACCCGCCGCCCGTTCCCCTGGGACCGCGCTCGCGGCCAGGGCGCGGCGGGGGCGGAGCGGCGGGGAGCCGAGGCGCGTCCAGCGCAGAAATTCAGCAAATTGCCGGGCGCGCTCCAGCCCGCCACTTCCCGAGCGCTCCCGCGCCCCGGCGAGCGATCTGAAGAGATTAAACCTGTTTTCCTTTCTCCTCACAAAGGAATAATGAAAAGGTTTCCAAATTGCTTCCAGAGAGGGGAGGGCCGAGTCCCCTCGCAGTTGCAGGCGCGCTTCGGACCGCCCTGCACCGCTGCGGGGAAGCACCGCGGGGCCCCAGGGGACGGGGAGGGGGCGGGGCCTGCCGAGGGTGGGGGGCCGAGACCCCGTCCCGGAGGCCGGTGGAAATGCAGGTTCCTCAGGCTGGCGGCCCCAGGCCTCCTGCGTTAGATGCTCTGGAGTGGGGACCTGGATCTGCCTTCCTCAGTCCCCCTTCCCTTGCTCTGGGTGACTTTGAGGGGCGTAAATTTTAAGACCACTGGTGTAGGATGTGTTCATAGATTTATTCAAGAATCTAGGTTTTTAACTCGTGGTCCTTGGGGACCATGACAAGTTCAGGGGCAGTTGGAGCAGAGGAGGGAGCTGGATGTGGTGGGCATGGTGGGGGAAACTGGTGGGAGGGCACCTCTTCACCTGCTCTCCCCCACATTCACAGCTGCTGGCGGCAAGGAGCAGCAGGGAAGGGCCCCTGCTGGCCTGGGCAAAGGCCCTGAGGCAGGAGGGAGGAGCTGCCCTCCAGGAACCAGGAAAAGCAAATAGGAGGCAGAGGGAAAGGTTGCTGGTGGGACTGAGACAGGAGGCCAGCAGGTGGGCTAGAGGCCCTGCAGATAAAACGTCTGCCTTTTGTCCAAACTGGGAGGCAGCCAAAAGTTTTCAGCAGGAGAGTGATGTGGTCAATTTAAACAATAATAACAAATTTTAAAATTTACGTGCAGCACACTCATACATTGCTGGTGGGACTGCAAATTGGTGCAACCACTCTGGAAAGCAGTAGGAAAGCACTTAGGAAACTTGGAAAGGAACCACCACTTGACTCAGGTATCCCACTCCTCAGTCTATATCCAAAGGACTTAAGTCAGCATGCTACAGTGATGCAGCCACATCAATGTTTATAGCAGCTCAATTCACAATAGCTAAACTGTGGAACCAACTTAGACGCCCTTCAATAGATGAATGGATAAATAAACTGTGGTATATATACACAATGGAATATCACTCAGCATTAAAAGAGAATAAAATCATGGCATTTGTGGGTAAATGGATGGAGCTGGAGAATATCATGCTAACCAAAGTAAGCCAATCGCAAAAAACCAAAGGCCGAATGTTCTCTCTGATAAGTAGGTGCTGATCCATAAGGGGGGACATGGGAAAAATGGAGGAACTTTGAGCAAAGGGGAGGCAGGGGAGGAGAAGGGGGATGGGGTGGGAAAGATGGTGGAATGAGCTGGACATTCTTACCCTAGGTACATGTATGACTGCACATGTGGTGCGACGCTGCATTGTGTACAACCAGAGAAGTGAAAAGTTGTGCCAGTTCTGTACAATGAATCAAAATGCATTCAGCTCTCATATATACCTAATGAAAAGAAATAAATTTTAAAAAAGAAAAGAAATTTACATGCAGTAAAACTGATTTTTTTGTGGGGGGAGGGCAGACATGTTGACATGTATAGATTTTTGTAGCCACTACCTCAATCAAGACCCTGAATTCCGTCAGCTCCCTGCCCCAAACTCCCGTGAACTGATCCTTTATCATCCTGGCATCCTTTATCACCCCGACTCCTTTCAATCTGGCTACAGTTTTGCCTTTTCCAGAATGTCATACAAATAGAATTGTGAAGTATATGAGCTTTTGAGTCTGGGTTCTGTGCATTGAGATGTACCATGGTCCCTTCTTATTGCTAAGTTGCAGTCCGTGGCATGGACCATAGTTTATTCACCCATTTTCTTTCTGAAGGCCATGTGGGTTGTTTCCAAATTTTAGTGATTATGACTATAGCTACTGTAGACATTCATCTATAGGTTTTTCATCTGAATATGTTTTCTCTAAGGAATGGGATTGCAGGGAGGTATGGAATGTATATATTTAACTTTATAAGAAACTGCCAATGGGGCTGGGGATGTGGCTCAAGTGGTAGCGCGCTCGCCTGGCATGCGTGCGGCCCGGGTTCGATCCTCAGCACCACATACAAACAAAGATGTTGTTTCCGCCGAAAATTAAAATAAATAAATATTAAAAAAAATAATTCTCTAAAAAAAAATTAGAAACTGCCAAATTATTTTCCAGAGAAGCTGTTCCTCTTTGCTTTCCTACCAGCAACATTTGAGAAGTCCGATTCCTCCAGACCCTCACCTGCACCAGGTATTTTTTATATTAAGTCATTTGATAGTTGTATAGTTCATTGTGGTTTTAACTTCAATTTCTCTAGAGACTGATGATGCTGTGCGTCTTTTCATGTGTATAATTTCCTATCCATATATCCCTATTTAGCAAAGTATCTATTAATGTCTCCTGCCTGTTTAAAAAATTGTGTTGTTTGTGTATTTTTCTAATTGAGTTAGAAAGCTCTTTATATATTCCAGATACACGACTTTTGTCAGATATGTGATTTGATGTCTGTGTCTGTTGCCTCCCATTTTCTTAACAATGCTCTTTCATTAAAAAGTTTTTTTTTTTTTCTCCCTCATGAAGTCCACTTTGTGAAATTTTTCATTTACGAAATTTTGGAAGTAGTCACATCTAAGAACTCTTTGCTAACTCTGGGTCATGAGGATTTTCTCCTGTGTTTTCTTCTAACAGTTTTACAATTTTACATTTAGCCTTTAGATTTATGATTCACTTTGAGTTCATTTTTGTATCAGGTATGGGGTTTGGGCTGAGATTAAACTTGTTTTAATATATAGATATCTACTGTTTCCATACCATTTGTTGAAAAGATTGTCTTTTCTTTATTGAATGGCTTTTGTACCTTTGTCAAAAGTCAATTGACCAGTATTTGTGTGAGTCTATTCCTGGGCTTTTATTCTGTTCCATTGACCCATATGTCTATCTCTTTGCCAATACCTCTCTGACTCTGTCTTTATTATTGTAGATTTATTAAGTTTTAAAATTGGGTAGTGTGAATCCTCCAACTTTTTCTTTTTCAAAAATGGTTTGGCTATTCCAGTTCTGTTATCTGTCCAAATGTATTTTGGAAACAGCTGGCTTATATCTATAAAAAAGAAAAATCTCTCTGGAATTTTGATTAGTATTGGGTTAAATCTATAGACCCATTTGGAGAGGACCAGCATGAATTGTGGTCTTCCATTTATTTAGGCTGTCTTGGATTTCTTACATCAGAGATATGAAATTTTCCCCTTATGAATCTTCCATGTTTTGTTAATTCTTAAATATTTCACTTTGGGTGGATGATTGTAAATGGTATTGTTTTTAAAAAATTCAGTTTTTTGGGTGCTCATTTCTGGTATGTAGAAATAGCATTGATTTTTATGTGTTGATCTTAGGTTCTATAATCTTGCAAAACTCACTTATTAGTTCTTAGTGGCTTTTCAGGGTAGATTTTATATCTTCTATATAAACAATCATGTTGTCTGCAAATAGGGACCGTCTTATTTCTTCTTTTCCCATCTGTTTGCCTCTTATTTCTTCTTCTCGCCTCATTGCCCTGGCTAGGACTTCCTTTAACATGGTGACATAGGAGAGACGGGAGTGGACATCCTCGCCTTCCTCCTGATCTTAGAGGAAAGCACTCAGTCCTTAGCTTTCTTTTATTTATTTTTTTCTTCCCGATGAAGGAAGCAACTACAGAGAGCTTTTATTTGTTCAAAGTAACTGGTGCTATTGATGCAAAACCAAAACCCCAAAACCAATAAACCCTAACAACTCTCCCAATACTATTTTCAAAACCAACACATCAAACTTGACTTTCATTAAAAATGTAGTTGTTTCTTCACACTAGTAAAACTTTTAGAAGAAAACACAGGAGAAAATCCTCATGACCCAGAGTTAGCTAAGAGTTCTTAGATGTGACTAGTAAGTTTTTTACTAGTAAGTAAAAAAGTCAAGACCCAGATTGTTTATCAGTGCAAATGATA